GTAAGAAGCAATGACCTCTCAGTAAAATAAATCCAGGCCAGGAGCCAGTGGCTCAAACCTGTAATCCTAGCTACTCAGGAGGCAGAGATCAGGAGGATTGTGGTTCGAAGCCAGCCCGGGCAAATAGTTTGTGAGACCCTATATTAAAGAATGTTTCGCAAAAATAGGGCTGGTGGAGTGGCTCAAGGTGAAGGCCCTCAGTCCCAGCCCTAGTACTGCAAAAAAAAAAAAAAAAGATAAATCCATAAGCAAGAGCCACCTCACTCAGATGTCTCCCCTTCACTTATTCCTGCTCTCCCTAACTCCCTTTTGCTATTTTGAGACTTTTATCTATAGAACTCATGTAACTGCACAACTTGTCTGGAAGATGCCCAAGTGTGCTCTTACTTAATTATTCTGCAACTTTCCCACCCTCTGATGAACCTCCAGTCATTGGCTATTTGGAAGCTCAACTTTCTTCCACTGAGCTGGGCTATACAAGAGGAATCTCTTGGGGATAGTAATCGCCAATCCCTGCCCTTAAAGGCTCCCAGCTCCACTTTGACTTTTAAAAAGCACCCTAAAATACATTTGCAGAGACTTAGTCTACACAAGGGTTAGATTCCCTGCAATTGCTGTGTATAAGTCATACCAGACATTCAATATCAGAGCCTACCTATCTAAATGAATCTAGAGGCAGTGGATCACAGTGGTGAAGAACAACGGTCTCTGAAGCCACACTACCTGAGTGGAATACCACCTCTGCCCATTGCTGGATATGAGACACTGGACAGAACACTGAAGTTTTCAGTGACTCAGTTTTTTCATATGGAACATGGGAATGATAGGAGTACACACCCCCTTAGGGTTACTGAAGATTCAATGTATTAATGTATGTAAAGCAAAATGGGAAATGCTAAATATATATATATATATTACCTAACACTATTAATCCTTTTGTGAAGTAAATGATCAATTATCTCTTCAAGAAATTTGCAATATCATAACAAAGGGCTAACATTTAGAATATAAAGGGCTCCTGAGAACCAAGATGAATTCATTTTTATTGTTTTTGGTTTTATATGAAGGCTTAAGTTAAAGTTAAGAGTTACTAATAACTCCTTCATGTATGTATTCCATTGCCCACAAAGCAACATTTCCCTTATCTTTTTTGTTTCTTACAAACATCCTCACTAACATCACAGGGAAACTTGAGGTGTGGGCAGGGGAAGTGGCTTATCCAAGGTAATCTAGCCAGTCACATGAACATATCTTTTATGTTTACAATTTTTTCCTCATGACCCTACTAAGACGTAGGAAGATAATTTTAGTAGCAGGAAATCTGAGATAGATGGATAGCAGGCTTTTGACAAGGTCTGAAATGGTAGACCTGGGGACCAGGTTTGAAAACCCAATTTAAAACTGCCTGGATCTAGCTATGAGACTCCACCACTGATATCAATTCTGATCCCAGAAGCAGAAAAAAAAACAAGCTTTATGGAAAGGCCTCACCCTAGCATTTAAGCTTCTTCTAAATCAAACTTAACATACCTGCCCAGCTTTGTCTCCCCTTAGACCTGTATGTTTAAATTGCACTGGCTGACTCACTGGGCTCCCAAACCAACCATGTACTTTCCTGTCTTTGGGATTTTGCTCAGTCTGGAATGCCTCATCTTTCCTTCCATCCACAATAAAGTCTGACTCACTGTTCAAGGTCTGTTTGAATGGCCACCACCTCTGGGAAGTGATCCCTGTATTCTTGGGAGGGGATTTGTCTTTGGTTATCATTATTGCCCATGGGCTTCCATTTGTCTGAGCAAGTATCCACAAGTGTTTCCCAGGTCTGCTTCCCCATCAGACTGTGGGCTCCTTGAGGATGAGAACTGGTTCCCTGTGATCTGTGATTTCAGGGTCCATCACAGGCCTTGGTGCAGAGGAGACATTTGCTCAATGAACATTTAACAGTCTATATCTCTCTGCTCTGGATAAGATAAAGATGTGGAAAAGTAATCCCAGTTCAATAAGGTAAGCTATAAAGAGAGTGGTGCATATAAGTGGATGGAAGTATTGACTTGGTCTGAGGTAGAAGATGGCATCTAGAAAGGCTGTTCATCCTTGAATGGGGAAGAATAGAATAAACAAAAAATGGAGTTACCTCTGAGAAGGTCCAATGAATTGAATGCATAGATAGGTCTGACTTGGCATCAGATTCCTACTCAAGACTAAGAACTGAGCCATAAACTCTAAAATGGGGCTATAATTAGAGAAGAAAAGTATACAGTTTTACTTTCAGAGACCCATAGATCCGGATCCCAGCCCCCAAGTATGGAGTGTAGGGAGGAATCCCATTTAAAGTATCAAGATGGGCAATAATGATGGGTAAACAAAATCACAAATGGGGTCTTCTTATTGATAGCTCTCAGAATATGTGGGCATGAGTGCATTTGTGGGTGGGCAAGAGGGCCGAGGGTGAGGCTGGCCACATGCTTATAAACTAGGTATATGCATATAAGTGCATATTAGGCCTTCTGTGGCCGGCAGCCTAGGATCTACTTCCTTCTTAGCCACTGCCCCAGCCCATCATTCCCCTACTATTTTCAGCCCCATACCTAGGCCCCAAAGCTCACTGAAAAATAGTCCTAGGAGTGGCTCTCCCTAGACCATAATCACCCAGGGAGAAGAGCAGTTGGAGGATTGTGAGTGGTATTCCCTGTGGAGTCTACAGAATAAACAAGATTGCTATTCTCAGATAGCATAGAAGTTCTAAAATGTCTCCAAAGAGACATCCTGTCTTCCCACTCCTCTTGATCTTCAGCCCTCATAGAGAAGTAGGCTAGAGACTTTAATTTCCATTTTACTGAGGAGTCTATTGACACCTAGGGAAACTATATAGGTTGTTCAAAGTGACATAGCAAATCAACCTTATTTTATACACCAGAGAGGAGGTAAGAGATACAATATCTATCACACATTTTACTCAAAATTGGACAAGTTGGAGAAACTTCCATAGGTGCTAGAAAATTGTCCTTTAATCTACTTTTCCTTCTTTCTCACCTACCTGTTCTCCTAGAGGTTTTCTCTTCCATCGCTAATTATCTGAGAGATCTCCTGCATTCACAGACCCCCAAAGCAGGTCCAGTGGGTGACATCAAAGCAGGAACCTGGAGATATTTGTTGGTTCCTGGGAAGGCTGAGAAAGCACCCTTGTTAAGGGATGTGTGTACTCTGTTGAAATATCAGCTGTTGTAGTTGCCAAAGAAGTTCCTGAGCCACTCGGAGCCTTTTCTCTTCAGTCCAACCATGTGTTCACCTTGCCCCAAAGGTCAGAACTAATATTAACAAGCCACAGCAGAATGGGGAAATTAAAACCACCTATCAAGACAAGCAAGATCTGGATTTTCTTGGGGCTGAGTTTCAGATCGGTCTTCAGTGCAAATGGGCACAATCCCTTACTGGAAAGCAATCTGGAAACATGAAGCAAGAGCAATAAAAAATGTTCACTTCCTTTGTCCTAGTTATTCCACTCCTGGGATTCAATCCTGAGTCAGTAACTCGCAAAGCATGAAAAAGCTCAAGGCACAAAATTTTGTATTTTAGTTACAGAGCATTTTCTAATGCCAACAACTAGTAAGTAAACTTTAAGTCTTCTGGGAAGAAAAGCAGTTCTCTGGTCCTTTTTCTACAGCCATTGAAGATGATGACTCTAAAGTTGTGAAATTCTGGGGGGTGGGGCAGGAATTAACTATGCTGCTGTTCTGGGTGAGAAACCTGAACATGCAAAGTTATACTTTTTCATGGAAATTGGACGTTTATTATTTCTGTTTTTATGCTCTAAAAAACAAGTCATGAATGTGTTGCTATTCCTATTGCCCTTTGTTCATTCATTTAACACTTATTCCCTCCTAATATATGCTGTGTTCAGTATTAGGAAATAGAACAAGATGAATCAGATAGTCATCGCTCTCAAATTGCTGGCAGTCTACTCACAACAGAAATAGAAATCAATGGTAGTTTTGTATTGTGGCAAGTGCTGTGACAGAACGGACCAGTGGCCCAGACAAAAATACCTAAATGAGGCGGTGTGTGGTCAGTAAAAATCTTAGTAAAGTAATACTTAAACTGATTAAGATGGGGTTTGAAACCTGGCTCTACTACTTCTGTTGAGACTGAAGTGAATTCATTCAACCTCTTACTTAGCTTCAAGGCCCCTCACTGGGTTGTACTGAGAATGAAATGAACGTTTACGGAAAAGTCATGGCTGCATCGGGAGACAATGCTGCTCCAGAGTTTAAAATTTCTGGGCCTCGATTTTACTCATTCGAGAAATGGAGCCAACAGCAAGTATTGTGTCTGGCCTCATCCTTCTGGATGCTAGGAGGCCAAGACAAATGTGGCTACAGGGCGGATATGAGACCGTCTTCTCCTGCTTTCTTCCCTTCTAAAGCCAGAGGCCATCCTCCCAAGTCTCATCCCAGTATAGCCATTCTTACTGCTCCCTCCTGCAACCTTGAAGTTCCGTTGCCCCAGCCCCAAACAAGCACATAGAGCCAGCGACTCCCAGGGCGCAAGCGCCGCAGACAAAGGCGCATTTATGTGCACAATCTGTCGCACTGGGGGCGGGGCTTCGACCGCGGCGCGGTTCTGCTGAGTTCCGCCACTTAAAAAGTGGCCAAATCCCTTTTGTAAGTAACCGGAAGCACCGGGAGACTTTTGAACCGAGGAAAAATGCAGTCACACTCAGGAGCCCAAGCTGGCGTGAGGCCACAGGAACAGGAGTTATATCCGAGAACCACCTCTCACTATTCACTCTTCCTAGGGATTAGCCCCGCCCCTTCTGCTTCCACTTTAGCCAATGAGAACTGAGTGATTCGAAACCCCGCCCTGCGTGCGTCAAGTTCTTCTGTGGCACGCAAGAGGACGCCTGCGCAAACGCTCATGGAAGGCGGAGCCCGGCCAGCTTCAGAACGGTAATCATTTTGCCCGCGCTTATGCGCGCTCGAGGGGCATTCCAGTTCTCAAGGATGTTGCGTATAGTGAGCTGGAACATCAATGGGATCCGGAGTCCCCTGCAAGGGCTGGTATGCCAGGAACCCAGCAACTCTGCCGCCATGGCCATGGGACGTATTTTGCAAGAGCTGGATGCCGATATCGTCTGTCTCCAAGAGACCAAAGTGACCAGTGAGCACTCAAGAATCTAGGATACCGTCCATGTTTTCCCTTTCTTGCTGACTTTTGCCTCCTGCTCCATCTCATTTCACTTTCCCATTTCCCTGTACTTGAGTCCTGCTCTTAGACCCACTCCAGAATCCTGATCTCTTTCCTCTTAAATGCCTTCTTTCACCCCAGCTACACCCTTAATTGTCACTCCATCTCCTGTCTTCAGAACCTAAGTTGCTTCCACCTTGAAACCTTCATATTCACTAAGATTTCCACTTATTCTACCTCCTCAATTTGGTCCCTTGAGTTCCCCCCGCCCATACACCGAGAGTCTCCTACCCCTAAGTCAGATCCCCTCAGTTCTCTATCCCTGCCCCCAGGTCAGATCCTCTGATTCCCATCTTTGCCCCCACCTGACTCTACTTCCTCCATCCCAGATTCCCATTTCCCCTTATTTACCCTTATCTCTCTTCCCCAGTTTAGAGGCCCTAATTCCCACTTTGTCTCTCACCCTAAGCCTAGACCCTCTAATTTCCTCTCTCGCCCTGTGATATTCCCTATTTCTTCTCCCTTCATACCCATTTCTGATCGCCTAGTTCTAGTTCTCTTACCTCCTACCCTCAGCTAGTATTCCCAAGTCCCTGTCCCAAATCCCCATTTCCCATCCCAGCACCCTCCCATCACCTAGACCCTAAAGCTTAGCCCTGATTCTCTCCCCCTCTCAGTAAATCTCCACCTCTCATTCTGTGGTTGTCCCCATTTCCCCCACCTTCTAATTTTTATATCAGTTCCCTCTGACTTTTCCACCTTTCTAGCTCCTGTAATCATAGATACTTCATTTTCCTTCCGAACTCTGGCTCTGATGTGTGCTAGTAATTAGCCAGCAACTTTAATCGCAGTCTTTGTGTGTCCTGGGTCCTAGTTTTACCTCTGACTTAATACTGCATTTTTTCCAGGAGATGTACTGACAGAGCCCCTGGCTATTGTTGAGGGGTATAACTCCTATTTCAGCTTCAGCCGCAGCCGTGGTGGCTATTCTGGTAAATGGGGTTTTTTGGGGACTTTAAATTACTGTGAGTGATGGAGGCAAGTAGGGTGAAAGGGTTTCTAATAGTTAATGAGATGGTAATAATAAAATTTGACTTTTAGTCCACAGAGCTAAAACCCCACAAAGTTAGTTGTATGAAATATAATTTTTATGTATAAAATTAAACTGTTGGAACTCAGAAGTACAGTAGTGTGGTGGTTAATTGAGCTCTGGAGCCAGTCTGCTTGGGTTCAAATCATGGCTCATTTCCCAGCTATGTACTCTCTGGCAAGTTACCTTTGTGCCTCAGGTTTCTCAGCTAGAAAATGAGGATAATACCTAACTCCCAGGGTATTACAGAGATTACACTTATCAATTCATGTGGTAATAAAAGCTAATACTTTATAAGCACTTACCATGTATCCATGTAAAACACTTAGAATATTAGCCATTGTTATTATGTGGCTTTAGAAGAAGGAACTGAGGCTACTGGGCGTGAATCAAGTTGCCTCAGATTTTATAGTGCTATCTATGGCCCTTGAATTCAAAGAGTTGTCAATATATATAAAAAAAGTAAAGAACCACATTTTATGATGATGACTCTAGTGACCTGTGTGGGGAGAATTGGAGTGGGACAGGCTATTACAACAGGCTGCTGACTGCCAATTCTGTTCAGAATACCCTCTCTGTTTCTAGGTGTAGCCACCTTTTGTAAGGACAGTGCTACCCCAGTGGCTGCTGAAGAAGGCCTCAGTGGTCTGTTTGCCACCCAGAATGGGGATGTAGGTTGCTATGGAAACATGGATGAGTTCACCCAAGAGGAGCTCCGGGCTTTGGATAGTGAGGGCCGAGCCCTCCTTACACAACACAAGATCCGGTAATGGCCCTTAACCTCCTGCCACTGAATATTGCTGGTCTGCTCTCATTGTGGATATTCTAAGGCTCACCTTATAAACATGCATTTACTATAGAAAAGTTCCCAAGTTTGCTGTTTCTAGACTCTAGTCTTGACTGGGCTGCTTACTGTGTGACCCTGGGAAATCATGTTTCTTTCTGAGCCTTGAGTTTCCATCTCTACAATGGGGTACTGGCCTAGCTGTCCAGCTCTGTCATTACCACAGGCTTCTCAAAAGCAACTTGGCTATCCCAGAACTCATTGTCCCAAGATGCTTGCTCTCTGGGTGTCTTATCTTCTTGAATGGCAACATCATCATTTGGTTTACCTGGGTCATCCTTTATGCCCCTCCCTCATCTGTAGTCATTCCCCAAGTCCTGTGCATGCCTGCTCATTCATGATTCCCTAGCCCCCTTTTCATCCTATAGACAACCATTAAGTCGAAGCCAAATGGTATGTGTGGGAGGGGAGGCTTGAAACTGATCCCTTGGGGGTTTCTTTTCTCCCTAGCACATGGGAAGGGAAGGAGAAGACTTTGACCCTAATCAACGTGTACTGCCCCCATGCAGACCCTGGGAAGCCTGAGCGTCTGACCTTTAAGCTGCGTTTCTATCGCTTGTTGCAGATCCGAGCAGAAGCCCTCCTGGTGGCTGGCAGGTACTGAAAGTCTGGGCAGCCAGACTTCCTTGAGCTTGTCTTGGGTGCCAACTCTGTGTCATGTTCCACAAGGGATATAGAATCTTTGTCTTTCAGTTTCTTAATAGCCTAGTTGCAGACACTGCTATGCCCACCTGAATGGGCCATGCTCTAAAGAGCTGTGAAGACAAAGTAAAGTGACAGAAACAGGTTTTGTACATTATCCTCTCAAGACTAGCCCTGCCAGTGTTTTCTCTTTTGTTTAATGACTGTGTGCATCCCTACCACATGGAAGATATTTGAGGATGAAATGAGATGAGGGTGGTAAAGTGCCTGGGAGCAAATGAAAGTCTTGTTGTAGGGAGGGACAGGAAAGTGAGGGTGAGTTAGAGTTATCAAGTAGTGCTTCTTGGAAGAGTTGATACCTGAGCTCAGCTTTGAAGAATGAGAAAGATAGCATTATGTAGAGATCAATGGAGTGGTCATGTCAAACAGGGACAGTGTCAGGGAAGGCATCCAGGTTGTGGCAAGATAAGAGAGTATGAGAGGTAGTCTGCTATGAATAGCTGGTGGCTAAAGCCTGCATGTGGGAGGTGGCTAATCTGAGCCTGAGAAAAAGTATATGGGCCAGGACTATGCCACTTCCCTTTCTTGAATGTCTAGTTGATACTCCACATTGTGTTTTTTAGCCATGTGATCATTCTGGGGGACCTGAATACAGCCCACCGCCCAATTGACCACTGTGATGCAGGCAACCTGGTAAGACACCCTCTAGGCCCTGGGCCCCAGCCCTAAGTCTATCCACTCAGCCAGTCAATGCTGAGTTTTTGGCCCTGGAGTCAGCTTCCTTATAAGGAAATGAGATGAAACTAAGCAGAGCTTAGTTTGAAATACTGTTCTTTTTTGTTCTTAAGTGACATGTAATAATTGTACATATTTATGGGGTACCATGTAATATTTTGATACATGTGTATGATGTGTAATGATCAAATCAGGGTAATTAGCATATCACCTTAAACATTTATTGTTTCTCTGTGTGAGGAGCATTCAAATTCTTTTTACTACCTATTTTGAAATATACGAGAAATTATTACTAACTGTAATCATCCTACTATGCTTTAGATTATGAGAATTTTATATTCTTATTAAAGTGTATTTTGTACCCATTAACCTGCCCATCTCTATCCTTCTCCTTCTACCCTCCATCCTCTGACAACCATTGTTCTACTCCTATTAGATCAACTGTTTTAGCTTCCATATATGAGTGAGATGATACATTATTTGTCTTTCTGTGCTTGGCTTATTCTCATTTAACACAATGTCTTCTAGTTCTATCCATTTTGCTGCAAATGATAGTATTTCATTCTTTATGGCTAAATAGTATTCTATATATCTGTCAGTGAACATCTAGGTTGATTCCTTATTTTGTGAATAATGCTGCAATGAACATGGGAATACAGATGTTTCTTTGACGTATTGACTTCATTTTCTTTGGATATACCTAGAGGTGGGTTTATTGGATCATATAGTAATTATATTTTAAACTTTTTGAAGAAACTTTGTACTGTTTTCCAAAATGACTGTACTAATTTACATTCCCACCAACAGTGTATGAGACTTCCCCTTTCTCTGTATCCTTCCCTGCATTTGTTACTTCTTGTCTTTTTGATAATAGCCATTCTAACTGGAATGAAATGATATCTCATTGTGGTTTGGAGTCACATATCTCTGATAATTGATGATATTGAACTTTTTTTCATGTTGGTCATTTTTATGTCTTTTTGAGAAATGTCTATTTTGTTGTTGTTGTTGAGTTGTTTGAGTTCCTCATGTGTTCTGGATGTCAATCCCTTTTCAGATTGCAGATATTTTCTTCATTCCGTAGGTTGGGTCTTTGGTCTGTTGATTGTTTCCTTTGATGTGTAGAAGTTTTCTCATTTGGTATAGTTCCATTGATATACTATTCTAAAAGTACTGAGGATTGGTCCTTCATTCAATATTCAGTACCGGCCCTGCCCTTGGCTTTGCCCTGAGCCATGTGCTGAAGACTCAGTTACAGGTCATATTCTGCTCTTGGCCCTCAGAGAGCTCAGTGTGTTGGTGGACTACAGGCACATGCCAGCCAATTTTAGAGTAGAATCCTCAGGGCTAAGGCAGAGATGGCAACCTAGGAGGCTAGGGGAGTCCAGAGATGAAATTCCTAGGCAAATATGGACATCAAGCCAGGTAGCTGAAAGTGAGTCTTCATTTTTTGGGGGGTGGGGGTAACTGGGGCTTGAACTCTGGGCCTACACCTTGAGCTACTCCACCAGCCCTTTTTTGTGAAGAGTTTTTTCAAGATAGGGTCTTTTGAACTATTTGCCCAGGCTAGCTTCGAACCACGATCCTCCTGATCTCTGCCTCCTGAGTAGCTAGGATTACAGGTGTGAGCCACTGGCGCCCAGCTAGATGAGCCTTAAATGATGAGTAGAACAGAGCTTTGGGGTATGGGGAGCAAGATATTCTGGCATGAGCAAAGGTTTCACATTGACAAATTGCCTGTATACATGGGAAATTGCAAGTCCTATTCTTTTTAGAGTGCCATGGGAAGAGATGTGAGTGTCAGGAGGAAGTAGGGTTGGAGAGTCCTTGTGGGAGCCAGATTCTGAGGACCTTGAATCTCACATTGCCTTGGTCATTATCCTAATGCACTGTATTTCCTGCTCAGGAACCTTCAATACCACCCTTTTAACCTCTGTGATGCAGAGAAAGCATCAAAAGCAGACATTCAAAGTAGTTTCTGGTTTGTGCCCTGTCTCCATTTCCATTCTCAGTATTCCTCAATTTTAATTCCCAGTATTCCTACACACTGTTCACTCCAGACAGGGGCTTTTCTCACTGTGCCACAAGTTTGTGGCCATCTCCCCTCTGTCTTTTTTTTCTTATATGAACCTCTTATTTCTAATTCCCTCCATAAAATGGTTCTTAACCCTAATCCACTCCAGAACAACTTTGGTATGGACTCAGGATAGTGTATATTTAAAAGCCCCCAGGGCAAGTTTATTATACACCCAGGCATGAGATCCACTGTCCTATAATGTGTAAGCTACTGCCTCTTGTGGAAGGTTTCTGTGTTGAACAAATAAACTGCTTGTTTTTTCCTCTGCTGTTACACCACAACCACCACAGAGAAAGCTTCTGTGACCTCAAAAGGCAGAGATTTCTTTCTTCCAGCAAGCAAACAATTAATTCTTCAATTATGGACATCAGCTGGGTAGCTTCTAATCCAGTTCAGTTCTGACACTGTCTACCTGGAGATATTGTCAGATTCCACATGTTGAGGGCTAGTCCCCAAGACTGCCCCCCTCTTCTAATCCAGTCATAAGCCTCCGAAACTTCTGACCAACCAGCCATAAATTGAGGTTCAATTTCTAACCCAGTCTTAAGCCTCCAGAACTTCTGACCAACCAGATACAAATTGAGTTTCCCCCTCTTCAGGTTTGATTAATTTGCTAGAACAAAGCAAACACTTTTCTAGAGTTCAGATAACCACTATACTTACATTTCTTGGTTAATTGTAAAGGATATTTTAAAGGATACAAATAAGCAGTCAGATGAAGAGACACATAGAGCAGGTTCTGGAAGGATCCTGAGTACAGAGCTGCTGTTTCTGTGGAGTTGAGGTGTGCCACCCTCCCAGCAAGTGGGTGAGTTCTTGTTCACCTTCCTGCAAGCCTCCACCCGGTCAGATGTCCAGAAGCTCTCTGAACCCTGTCCTTTTGGGTTTTATGGAGACCTCATTGCATAGGCATGATTGCTAAAAGATTGGGTGAGGAAACCCAGCAAGGCCTGTCTGTCCAGATTTTTCAACATTCCTTCCTCACTGGTTCAGGCACGACCCCTCTGGAATGAGGGTCTTATGACCTACTATCAGACAAGGGTAGGTCAGAGAATTTCTTAATAGCTAGCTAAAGGCAAAAGAAGATTAGTTTTTGTGACCTGCCTTGGGGGAGAAAAATTCAGTTTCTATTGCTTGCCTTGAGGAGGGAGTTATGAACCAGAAACCATGAATGAGAACAAAAAAAATGTATAGCATAATATGAAAAAAGTAATCAGTACTGGCATAGTCCAACTCAGCCCTGGACTTGGCTTAGAAAGGAGACCTTGGGAAGAGTCCTTGATTAGTTTGCAGGAAAGCCACATAAACATAGATGTAATTCTTAACTGGGAAAATGAGCAGAACAGAGATAATGAGATAGTGGTGGTGGTGGTGGTGGTGGTGTTGGGGGGAGGGGAGTAAGGATTCTAAAGTGGAAGCCTTCACTTAATCCTTGCCATATTCCTCTTTAGCAACTCACTCAGTTGGTTCTTTCAGCTTTTTGCGATACTACTGTATACCTTTATGCCTCACGATTTAGTTCAGAGCTATCCTAGATGTCTCCAGTGCACCTCCTTCAGTCTTTCTTTCAGGAAAAGAGAACTAATATTACCAGCTTAGTTTACAAACACAGTCTTTTCAAAATAGCAGAACATATCTTCTTCCATCCAGACCAGCTCTTCTAGTCTTCTCATCTCTCTAAATGGCACCATTGTCCTCTTGGTTGCTCCAACTAGAAGCCTGGGAATTTTGCCCTTACTGTCCTTCTTTACCCCCTTTCCCTTTCAGCTGGTCAGTGGGTACTGTTGATTCTACTTCTAAATCATCTCAATTTCATTTTTCTGTCTCCTTTGGCACTACCCTGGTCCAAGTGCTTCCATGGGCAGTTATATCCTACTGTTGTCCCCATTATGGTCTCACCTCAGGTCTTTCAGCTATGCTACATCCTCCTTCCACAGGCCCATCACAGAGGCTATTCTCAGAGCCTTTACCTAGGTTATTCCTGTTTAGCCTTCATGTCCTATTTTTAGGCCACTTCCCCAAAGGAAGCATCCATCCCTTGTTCTCAGGACTAGATCTGCTTTGTCCCTAGTATCATGCCTGGCACAAAACAGATATTCTATGAATATATTGTTGCATTTAATGAATCGGTAGATTGGATGGATGGATAGGTCAGATCAGAGGGAAAAGGAAGTATTCAGCATGGATTCCTGTAGCCCCTAAGCTCAGGAGGGAGAGATGGTCAATGAAGATGCTAACACATGAGATAAACCAAATAGTGCCAGAGATTTGAAAAGAAAGGGTAACATTTTTCCTAAGTCCTAATTCCTGCCCTACTACTTATAAGTGGTTACCTATAGCAACCACTTTTCCTGTTTTCCATTCTTTTGAAAAGCAATTTTAGAAATTATTTTGGTTAAGCAAATAACAGACTTTCAGATTTGGCATTTATGGACCAATGCAAGGTAAGTGCAGTGTGGTATAGAGGAAAAAGCAAGCATGAGCTTTTAAATCAGTAAAGTTAGGAATTGAATCCTGGCTCTGCCAGTTCTGGACTGTATGACCTTGAGCAGTAGTCTTCTTTGGGACAACCAGATTTTATTTGTAAAATGGAACAGTCTCTTAAGTTTCTTCCAGTTCTAAGCATCTAGTTCTGTCTTTCTCTTCATCCTCCTCCTCTTTCCCCAGGACTGCTTTGAAGAGGATCCGGGGCGCAAATGGATGGATGGCTTGCTTGGTAACCCCGGGTGCCAGGCTGGGTCCCATGTAGGGCCCTTCATTGATAGCTACCGCTGTTTTCACCCACAGCAGGAGAGGGCCTTCACCTGCTGGTCTGTGGTCAGCGGTGCCCGCTATCTCAACTATGGCACCCGGCTTGACTATGTGTTGGGAGACAGGACTCTGGTCATAGATAATTTCCAGACCTCCTTCCTGCTCCCTGAGGTGATGGGCTCTGACCACTGCCCTATTGGTGCTATCCTGAATGTGTCCTGTGTGCCTGCAAAACAGTGCCCACCTCTGTGCACCCGCTTCCTCCCTGAGTTTGCAGGTACCCAGCTCAAGATTCTCCGCTTCCTAGTTCCTCTTGAACAAGGACCTGTGCTGGAGCAGTCAGTACTGCAGTTCAGTGATCAAACCCAGGTGCAGAAACGGCAAAACAAAGTCCGTGTGTGTACTTCCAGGCCTCGGCCAAGTCAGGCTGGCCCCAGAAGAAGCCAGAAAAACCTGACGAGCTATTTCCAGCCTTCCTCCAGCCGTCCCAAAACTTCTGACTTGAAGCTACCTAACCTGCCTCTGGTGGGAACCCTTGTGACCCCAAAGACTCCCGAAGAGGAGGCAATGACCAAAGTGGTAGAAGAGCAGGCCAAGGCTTCAGACACCAAAGATGAGAAGGAGGGACAGTCCTCGTTCTGGAAGTCTGTCCTGGGGGGGCCCTCGCCTATGCCTCTCTGCAGAGGCCACAGGGAGCCATGTGTAATGCGTACTGTGAAGAAGCCGGGACCTAACCTGGGCCGCCACTTCTACATGTGTGCCAGACCCCGGGGTCCTCCCAGTGACCCCTCCTCCCGCTGCAGCTTCTTTCTTTGGAGCCGGCCCAGCTGAACTGACCAAGGGTGAGGGATCTCTGGTATGGTCATCCCTGCAGAGGATCTGATTTCAGCTCCCCTCCTCATATTAAGCTGCCCATGCTGCCTTCTTCTTCTCCTTCAAGGTATCCTTCCCCCCTTTCTTTCTCCTCTTCTTTTCCTTTTCTTCTTTCTCCTTCTTTTTTCCTCCAAGGCCTCCCTCTAACTCCCCCCACCTACTTTTCTTCCTACTCCAAGGCCTCTCTTCCTCTCTCTTCTTCTTGCCCAACTCTTCCTTGTTGGTGAGATTCTTATACCTTAATGCTGTGACCTAATCCTCCATCCCACTTCCCACCTTCCTGTCAGAAGTACATGGGTACCAGCTGCCCAGGAAATTGTGTTTTTAAACTATTTTTGTCCTTACTGGGAAATGTATTTGTTCAAAAATAAAATCTGTGTCTTTGTTTTAGTGTACCACATTGACTAGACATTTTGGATGTACTTCATAAAGTTGAGTCAGAGAAGCTGTCTCAATACTGGGTTTGCCAGCTGCCTGAAGACTGATGATATAACTTCCAGGGAGAGGGGAGGAGAGAGGAGCAGTGGTTACCATAAAGGGCTCTCTCTACTGAGCTGTAGTTTCTCTGCACTGCTGAGGTTGGATCGGCAAGGGAGGTGAGTGTGGTGTAGCAGAAGCATGGTGGGTTATGTAGCCTAAACAAAAGCTTCTCAACTAGTGTCCCTTCTCAGCTGCAATAGATGTGTTGTAGGGTAGAAATAAAGGGTGTCTCAGTATTCAGAGTTGCAAGGCAGGGCCTGGAATACCACATGACTCAAGGAAGATTGCTTCCTCAGCAAATAGTAATCAGTTGTTCCATATTGGGAGCATTACTTTGAACATGTTGCATGCTATAGCCAAGCTTCTTTATGTACCTTGGAAAATGGGGCTTATAAATCTTTTAAGATGCTGTGGGAGGGAAAGAGGATAATAGATTAAGGAAACTTCCTCCTCAGTTTGGGGCAGGGGGGGTGGCATTCCTCACTAAGAACAGACAACTAAGAATAGTCAGTCCTTAAGGCCCACTCAATTTCCTGACTTTCAACACTACCTGGGGCCCAGGTTTCCAGGTCTACCAGTGAAGAGTCGATCCCTGGGTTCTTGTTGAAACCATTGGGAAAGCCATTTCAAATCTTCCAGTGTTTCCTCTCTTTATGCAACTTCCAGTATATTTGGGGGGCATTTATTTCCTTTTTCTTGGTTTAGATTTCCCTGTCAGTAAAATAGAGTAGTCAGACCAACAAATGGATCTGTAGTTTCCAAGTCTGGCACTTGTCTGAAGGAGTCAGTATAGTGCAGTTATCTGTTCTTTGTCCAAAAAATGCTATAAATGCTGCAGTTTGCTCTTTATTTTTAGATTCAAATCAGCTAGAGGCACACAACAAAGCAGAGGACAGGAGGAGGCCCAACCCCAGGTGAAGTGTAGGTGGAGTGGGCATCCAAGGCAGCTGGCTTCTCAGGCGTAGGTGGTGACATATTGGGGCCCCATGTTACCAAAGTAGGAACGTTCCCACTCACTCATGAGCTCGAAGTGCACAGGACGGTGACAGAAATTGCAGGCAGCCACAGACACATCTTGGAGGGGCAGCCCCACTTCAGTCCAGGTTACCAGCAGTTTCTCTGAATGTGGGAATGAGAGAGAAAAAGAGAAGAGGGAAAGAATCGGTTAGACTTGGTCTTCCAAATTCCTGTGTTACAGTGTAGATGTGCTACGATATTGATCCCCTGAATCCTTTGAGGTACCTCAGGGTCAGAGTAGCTTTATATGTTTATTCCAGTGTGAGCTGTGAATGTTGCCATTTTTTTATGAGTGCTGAGATGTATAAAGATTGGGAAGCATTCCTTTGATACAATTTGAAGTGATACCACCTTGCTTTCTATTACTCCCCAAGTACAGGACATGTGTGGGCCAAGAAGTGAACCTATCTGCTTGGAAAGTCCTAACTTGGTGAGAAAGGTAGCACTAGCAGTAATCATACTATGATATCAGTGTGGTGACTAGGGAGCCTAGGGTGAGGCAGTGGGGGTTATTCCTGAGGGGTGTGGGAACCTAGAGTAGGGAATCTAACCCAGCTATAGGAAGTACCTCAGGTATGTGCCAGGCCCCTGTCCTTAACCTTTTTTTATGCTCATGCTCTTGGTGATCTTGTCTAGTTTCATAGCTTTAAACACCATCTATATTCTGATGATTCTGAAATTTTCGTCTCTACCAGACTTGTATATCCAGTGGCATTTCTCCTTCTCCACTTGGATGTCTAATAGGCATGTCTAACTTAACATGGGCACAACTGAACTACGTATGTCCCTACCATCCACCAAGCCTGCTCTACTTTCATCTTTCCTAATCTCATTTGATGGCAATCCCAGTTGTTCAGTCTAAAACTTTCAGAACCAGCTTTTCTTTTTCTTTTTCTTTTACCCTACATTCAATCTATCAATAACTACTACTGGCTTCACTTTCAATTTTTTTTTTTGTGGTACTGGGGTTAGAACTCAAGGCCTCATACTTGCTAGGCATGTGCTGTACCACTTTAGCCATTCCACCAGCCCTTGGCTTCACTTTCAAAATCTGACCACTTGTTATTATCTCCATTGCTATGAAGTATGAACCACAATCATCTCTCATCTGGAATATTACAGTAGCCCACACACACACACACACTGGGCCTCCCTGTTTGCACTCTTTCTCTTTTTTGGTATATTCGCAACATAGAAGTTGGAGTTCTGCTAAAACTTGTGTCAGATATGTTAGTGTTCTTAGATCCTTCCAAAGGATATTTGAGGAAGATTCCAAATCCTTCCAGTGATACACAATCTGGCCTCACATTGCCTCTATCTGCCTAATTTTTCTCCCACTTGCTTACATTATTCCACATTCATCTTATTGCTCCTCAAATATAAAAGGAATATTTCTGAGTTATGGTCTTCCCTGCCTTAGGCTGTTCTCTCTGCCTGGGATGCCCTTCCCTTAGATATCTCCCCATCTGACTCCTTCACCCTTTTCTAATCTTTGTTTGAGTGTCACCTCAGTGGTCTACCCTAATACTATACTATAATACTATAACCCTCCTCTAAACTAGCTCTTGGTCCCAACACTTTCTATCCTCTCTCTCGTGATTTTTCTTATAGCAGTTAGAACTAGCATGCTATTTAATTTGCTTACTTTTAAAAATGTTATTGACCCTTCCAGAATGCAAACTCTGTGTCATTTGTTTACTACTGGATCCCCAGGACCTTGAACTGTATCTAGCTCACAACAAGTACTTGATAATTATTTGTTGAAAGAATGAAAAGATACCTGAGTTAAAACTAGAAGATGAAGGGAAGTAGGGCAGAAGAAAGGGTGAAAGAGGGGGCATTATCTTAATTTTAATAGCCTCCCTCACCTCAAGTCCCAACCTAGTACCTATATGACCTTTGACCAATAAATATATTTTATGCCTCAATTCTACCTACACAAAACATAAATAATAACACATCTACCTTGAGGATTAAATGGATTAATAATACAATAATGTAAAGTGCCTAGAACAGTATGGAGCACATGGTAAATAGTAATTGTTAGCCATCATCATTTAATATTTTTGAGTAAATGAATGAATGGCACCCACCTGTCTTGTCTTTCTTGAACTCTCATACTGCCTGTGCTCCAGATGGAAAGGATGTTGTCAGTACATGCCCTCTATTTTCCTATCTTTAAGTTATTGCTCCTGGGAGTCCCTTATTCTGGAATATCTTTGCATCATATCCACATGTACTTCAATGTGGAGCACAAAGACATTCCGCATCCACAAAGCCTCTCCAATCTCATCCTCCTTGTCTTCTCTAACCATAAATGAACTCTCCCTCCAGCCCCAGAGCACTAAGACTTATCACACTGACCTGTACTGTCCTTGTCTGTCTCCTATGCTAGACCATCGACTGCCTTACCTGTTTTTCATTCAACAGACCTGGAATGAGCACAAGCTCTGTGCGAGGCCCTGTTTTAAACTATACCCAAATGGAATCCAGTAAACTTCAGGTAAATTGAGTAAACTGGCATCTTTCAGGGTAAAACCCAAACTACTGAGCATTATAAGCCTCTCAATCTAGTTCCTATTTTTTTGTTGTCTTTGTAGATTCTTTCCACCCTCACTCCATTCCTACTACTCTACATTCCAGTAATACCTGCATATTGTTCTCTTTCCACACTTTCTTTCTTCTCTTGGTCAGGACCACCACTTACTTTGCAAGGTTCAACTCAGGTGTCACCTCTACTAAGAGACCTTTTGAATCCCCCAGACTGGATCAAGCTCTTCCTTTCTGTCCCCACAACTCCCTCATGCACTGTGTTTGTTAAGCTTTGATCACCCCTCAGTGTCATTGTTTGTGTCTGCCATGGTCTCCCCAACCAGACTAGAGCACTGTGAGTCTATGGGGCTGTTTCTCATTCATTTGTGACCCTGGTATAGGGTCTGGCACACAAAAGATGTTCCAGAAATATTTTCTAAATTGAGTGGAATCTGTCCTGAACTTACTTCTTCAGATCCTGGATCTGAGGGGTGGGGGAAATGCTGTAGGCACACATGTTGAGGACTTACCCACAAAATTTTCCATCATCTGAGGGCTGTGGTGTGGGGAAGGTGCCAGGCGCAGCAGCTCCTCACCCCGGGGAACAGTTGGGTAGTTGATGGCCTGCACATAGATACTATGCTTGGAGAGCAGGAGATCACAGATCTTGCTGTTGAGTGCTGCATCACCCACCTGGGCTCAAGAGAAAGGCCTTTCAGTAGTTGCCACCCTGGCTCCACCACTACTAACTAGATCCATTAGGCAGGTAGGGGGAACCAGATCAAGGTACACCACTGAACTGGGGACAGATTTGTTTCATAAGGGGTTAATCAGTGGCATCTCCAGAATTTCTATCAATCAGGAGCCCCGAGCCAGTAATTGGATTTGAAGGAGGTTGAAGGTAGCACCAGGAGCCTTGACTTGAAGCTGTTTGCAAAGCAAGCATATAGGTTGATTTGGTATGGTTTTAGATGAGAAGATAAACTGACCAAGCCACCTCTGGCTGCTGTAACTGGACTAATGAAAATATCAGTTATTTTAAAAAAGGAGTTTTTCAAGGGAACATTGGAGCAATGGCTGCAGTTGACCCTGTATATCAGTGGGTCTTGCATGCAGGGATTCAACTGACCTCAGATCAAAAATATTTTTTAATTGTGTGTTTTAACGAACACATGCAGACTTTTTTTCTTGGTTATATTCCCTCAAAAATACAGTGTAACAACTATTCACATAGCATTTATATCGCATTAGGTATTACAAGTCATCTAGACATGATTTAAAGTATATGGGAGAATTGCATAAGTTATATGTAAATACTACGCCACTTTCTACAAAGGGACTTGAGCATTTGTGGATTTTGGTACAGGTGGGAGAGGGTGTCCTGAAACCAATCTCCTGCTGATACTGAGAGATGACTATTCCTTTCTCATCCACAAAATCATCACAGTAAAGCATCCTTCCCATACTTACTAACTTACTCATACAAACTCACTCATACAAACTTACTAACTTACTCATACACATAGATGTCATTTAAGAAAGAAGTAGCATTTTTAAAGGCAGTAAACACTCAAACATAATTGAGGATACAAAATAGCAGCTAGCCCTATGGTTTTTGATTTTATTTTTCTGACCTTGATTCTCAGTAACAAGTATCTTTTATATTATAATCATAATACACACATGTACATATACATGCACACACATAAAACTGAACAAATTCCTCACAAATCAATACCCTTTACTTATGTGTGTTATACTTCAACATTGTAATATTTTTTCTCTTTTTTAATGCTAGTTATAATTCAGTAAACTGATTTGGTAACCCACTAATGGTATTGATAAACAGTTTGGAAAATACTGGATTACAGACCATGAGTACTTGATATTGCGAGTCAGGACAGTATAATAAGCATGAGGTAATAGCTGATGCAGAAAAAGATTGGTTAATTCAGAACAGCTGATAATTTTTTCAAAATGAATGAAACTGGGAAGAAGGAGGATTCACAGGAAAATGAAAGAGTTGATGACAGGTGCAGATACTGGTTTGCTGGGGATGGAAAGGTTCCCACAAGACCAGTGGGCATGGTGGAACTCTCACCCGGATGGGGATGATATGGCTGGGGCAAGGGATGACAGGAAGACCCTTGTCCATTAGTAGCTGGCGCATATGCTTGACGTTCCTCTGGTGGGCCCTTCGCAGAGCTTGGCCCTCCTCTCCCTTTAGCAGACGCACAGATTCTAGAGCCCCAGAGAGCACCATGGGGGGCAGTGAAGTGGTGAAGATGAAGCCTGCAGCATAGGAGCGCACCATGTCCACCAAGTCACGAGTGCTGGCAATATAGCCACCCACGCAGCCAAAAGCCTTGCCTGGAGACAGAGGAGAAAAATATGCACAGACATCATAATTAGTCCTCAGAGGAACAGGATCATACCCCAGGTAACACAAGTTGGTACACCAGAAGCTGGGGCTCCGGTCTCATTTCCCAGGCCTCTGCCCATCTCTCCTGTCCATTGCAAGGCAGACAGAGTTGATAATTTTATGGCTCTGGGATTAGGACTGTCAAGTCCTACCATATGTAATGACTAGATAGACAGAAGCAGGGTGGGGACCTTTAACTGATTAGAGCCTAGAAGAGCTAAGATGAGACCTGGGCTCATGTGGCCCAGGGAAACACAGCTCTCTGCTTACTCAAGTTGAACCTGGCTATTTTATCCAACTCAGGGGTCTTTTCAAAAAACTCTCCCAGACTTTTTCAGCAGCTCTGCAATGGGATGAGAGTAGAGAGAAGGGAGATCTGGTAGGACAGTACCCTGGGGCTACTTCTACCCAAACAACTCCTGCAGCTTTGGGGAGGAAGAAGAAAAGGTTCTGGCAGAGGTCTCTTGTCTGGATTGCATGTAAGGGAGGTCCAAGGCATTCACTTACCAAGAGTTCCAGAGATGATGTCAATCTTGTGCATAATTCCATCACGCTCCCCAATCCCAGCTCCCCGGGACCCATATAGTCCTACAGCATGAACCTCATCCACGAAGGTCAAGGCCCCATACTGGTGGGCCACATCACACAACTCCTCAAGGGGACAGATGGCACCTAAGCAAAACCAAGAGATAGGGGTCAGAGATCACAACTCTTCTCCATCTCTACCTCCAGTGTTGAATTTCCCATCACTGCCTACTCTAGGTTGAAAAAAATATGTTGTAGAGCAGGAAAAAGGCCCACCAGAAGTGTACAAATCCTCATTTGAGACTATTCCAAACCTCTTTATATCCATCAACCAACTGCACCCCACCCACACCTCATCTCTCTCTCTTTCTCTCTCTGTGTGTGTGTGTGTCTGTTTCCCTAGTATGGGATCAAGGGTTGGCTCACTGTCTATTTTTGCTTCATTCTGACAATGACTGTCTTCCTATTTCTGCCATTTTTATTCTTTCTGTTGCCTTTTCCCCTTTGCTAATCTGTGTATCTCCATCTAGGGTTGGCACTAGCCTACCTAATATCTTTGTTTAAATAAATAGAAAGCATTACTTTTTGCTTACTACAGTCCTGATTTCAGATATCACTCACCCACCTTGTCCAGGTACTCTTGACAGCCCTGTCAATAATTTTATTCTTCACTGGTCCTCCCAGTTTCTTTCTGGATTTCTGCTACTATCTCCTTTTTTGTGTCCATTTCAATCTTTGTTTCTCTGTCTCCATTTTTCTCTGTGTCTCCTCTCCCCCCTCTCCATCTCCTTTCTCTTTTCCTTACTTTCTCTTTTTCTGTTTATGTCTCTTTCTGTCTTACTTTCTTCTTCAGACTTTCTCTGTACCCTGTGTCTCTTTCTGAGTTTCTTTGTGCTTCTGCCTCTTTGTCTTTTCTGTGTCTTTGTGGGAATGTTTTTCTCTTTCTTCTTTTTTTCAAACTTTTTTTTTTTTGTGGTACTGGGGTTTGAACTCAGGGCCTCATGTTTGCTAGGCAGGCACTCTGCTATCTGAGCCACTCTACCAGCCCATGTTTTTCTCTTTCATCTCTACCAATATGGTTCCCTGAAAAACCTCTCTCTCAGGCTCAGTCACAAACTATAAAGTGAAAATTAATCAGAAGTAATCATTGTACCCCTCTATTTTCCATACAGATTTGTCATTTATCCATGTTATTCTAGATATCATCTATGTTAAGGTCTTCAAATGGCTGTGAATCTCATAAATAAACTTTGTGGCTACTCTTCATATTATAAAACCCCACACCTTTTTAATAATTTCCCATCCCTCTACTCCCTGGAAACTCCTGAGGTATGGGGAGTTGGAATACAGAAGAAACTTCTGAAGGCAGAAACAGGGATCCAGACTATGAATAGAGGGTGTGAGCAGCTGGTTGGTCAACATGAGAGGAGGTGGAGCTTGGGATAAGACAATGTGATGGTTCAAGTATCATTTCAGAAGGAGAAAGTCATACCTAGGATTGAGTTTGGCAGAGTTTCCACCAAAAAAGTATAAGGAGCCATTCACTTGCAAATGTAAGTAGTATGATCTCAAAATAACTTCCACTTGAGAAAAGTGAATTTTAATAGTCTCAGTGTTAGAAATATACAAATGTGATGGTTTTACTTTATTGCTGGTTATAGAAATGTGGGAGTCATCATGACAGTAAATTCCTTCATTTAATTAATTCATTTAATTCTCACAGCATTTCTATTATTATTACCTCCATGTTGTAAATAACAACTGTGACACAGAGCAATTAAGAAACTTGTCCGAGCTAATAAATTGTTATGCTGGAATTTGAACCTAAACAGTTTGAGGTTAGAGCCTGTGTGCATAATCATTATGTGATGTTTATGATACTTATGCTAGCAGGACCTCTTTCCTTAGATAAATCCAGAAGGAGATGTCTAAACCACATGACTTCTGCTTGATAGGGCCAGTAATAGAAAGCTTTAGGCACTGTTTCAGTTGGGAGAAGAAAGGGGGTATCAAAATAAATGGAATGGCTTCCATCATCTATAATTCTTACAATCAAATATTTTACCTTGGGGAAAATTGAGGCTCAGGGAGTTTAAGAGCTCCCAAGTTCATAAAGACAGTATGTGTCAAATAGGGTATTTGAACCCGGGTCTGTCTGACTTGAAAACCTATTTTGATTCTAATGCTGCATACTGGACTTTGAAAAAGGTCCTAGGCAATAGTTTGTGAATTTTCCCATTGTAGAAATCAGACTCTAGGATGATTGATTTTTCACGTCATTTCAAATGCAAGGGAATTGCAGTTATATGTCCTAGGGTGAAAACACTCACTTTTTCACCAATTTGCTGAACTACCTAAGACAAAATTTGATGCCATCTGTAAACTTTAGTTTTTTTCACCTGTAAGATAAGTGTAGTAACTGCCTCTGTCCTTTGGCATTTACTAGTTTTGTGACACTGGGTAGGTTACTCCACTTGTTTCTCAAATAAAAATAAAAATAAAATAGCACTTACCCCATAGAATTGCCATGAAGACTATGAATTGATGCATGTAAAATAATAATAATTTTGCATGGCATGCAATGAGCACCTTGTGAATGTTAGTTATTACCATCATTATCATTACGGTTTTTGTGAAACCAATGCTAGTAAAAGCTCACATATACTCACCATCCATGGAATGAACAGTCTCAAAGGCCACAATTTTTGGTGTCTTACGGTTGGATTTCTCTAGAAGTTTCTTCAGGTGATCAGGATCATTGTGTCTGAAGACAAATTTAGCTGCTCCGCTGTTGCGAATACCTTGGATCATGGAAGCATGGTTGCCTGCATCTGAGTAAATCTCGCATCCTGAGGAGCCAAACATGTAATTCTTAAGCTTCTGTCTCAGTATTCCTCTTTCAACCTTCATGTCTAATCAACTCCCGCTTCCCCTTGAAGATGCTGCTGTGCTTCCTCCTCCTCTAGAAATCTTTGTGATATCTCTTCCTTTACCGAACTCCTTTGCCCTGCAATTCTGCTCTTCCTCCAGGCATTTCTTATTCTCGCATGGCCTCTGACTGACCTGGGGTGGAGGAAAAATTTATTCCCCAGGAAGCTTTAGAGTTTCTTGAGGACATTCTCCTCAACATATAAATTCAAGTCCTGGAAAGATGTTAATCTCAGGGAATGCTTATACACTTGGACTCATGTTAGATTTTTCCTGGTCTAGATAAAACCCATTTGTTCCAGGTATTGTCCATCTGCTTGTAGTTACAGGGATGGACACTTACTGGGCTTTCAATGTTGGAAACATGCTCATAGCAAGTCAGAGCAAGAAGGGCAGATAATCCTTATAGGTTCCAGCCCCTTTACTGTATAGGGGGAAAACTAAGCTCCAGAGAGGGAAGAGTCTTTCTCTAGAACATGAGGAATGCAAGGATTTTTACTGGGGGGGCAGGTGGGGATGGGAAGTTGGTGGTGAGTTGATTCTTAGACCCTGCAAATCTTACTGACATCAAGGAACTATGGCCTTTCATAAGAGTAAGGGATAATTTCTACTTAAGAAAAATGAGTCATGGCTTCTTGGAGGACACGACTAGGACTTTCCTGAGAACAGAAATGAAATATTCTTGTCTTTGTATCCCTTGTTTCCAGTATAATGCTGAGTATATAATAGATGGTAAGAAACAGTTCTTAAATGAGTGGTTGAATAAATAAATGACTGATTTATAAGTGAGTGAATGCGTATATGGATGAATATATTACTGAACAAAACAGTGAGAGGAGAGGTATGAAAATATAAGGCTGAAGAGGTATGCAGAAACTAGATTATTGAAAGCTTTAGAAGGCCATGATGGGGACTTTAGATTTGGTAGTAGGGGCAGTAGAATTTTGACCAGGGGAGAAACAAAGATAGGTTTAAAATTTTTAAACATTGTTCTGAATGGTGTCTAGAATAGATTGTAGGGAGGCAAAGATAAAATCAAGAAAATGATGTAGGTCTAAACTACAATGGTGGCAATAGAGATGGAAAGAAGTTGAATTCTAATAATTGAGGAGGAGGGGATTGATTTAAAAAAAATCCCAAAGGTATTGAGTTTATTTGAGGACTGTGGTGACATCAGAAAAAGTTCCCAAGAAATAGTGGTTATATTTAATGTGCTGAAGAATCAGCAGGATGGTGAGGTGGTAGACAGCAAGTACAGAGACTTCTCTCAGGCAATTTGCCTGTTACAGGAAGAGAGAGGACAGTAGCTAGAGCGTGATGAGGAGTCAAGGCAATATTTTTTTCAGATGTAAGAGACTTGAACATGTTTCTAAAAAGGGAGAGGCTGAAGATACAAAGAGTGGAAGAAAACTGATAGATCAAGGCTCCTGAGTAGGTAGTGGGGAATGAGACACAGAGCACCAGTGGAAGGACTAGTCAACAAGAAGAAAGGTACCTCCACTGTGACAGGAGGCAAAGAGTGGGGAGAGAACAGGCAGGAATGCATGTAAGTTCACAGGTACTTTGTGGGTAGGAATTGAGACTATTGCTCTCTGGTGTCTTCTGTTAGTACGATAGGAGATGAGGATATCTGCTGGGGGCAGGGGAAGCTAAAGATAATGGGGGGTTGGCAAAACTGCCTCAGAGACTTGAAGAACTGACTAGGGAAACAGGATTGTTAGACAGCATAGAGGACTGAGTGGAAGTTGGGAAGTGTGATTCTTTTAGTGGCTCCCATTTGAGCAATTGTATGAGCCCAGGATTGACATAGGGAATGTGGATAGTTGTATTAATCTGAGGTTGAGCTGTGATGGAATGATGGCAAGGCATATGAGGTGATGACATCATTGACTAGAGAGTGGGAACGTGGGAATATGTGATCCAGTATATAGGTAAAAGGATTGGCTTTAGGTAGAAGGAGAGATATATCTGCCTAGTGGCTTCTGTATTGAGATAAGGTGTGGGTTATTTGGTAAAAGTGACAGAGGAGGTAGTCAGAGGTTTTGGAGAGGAAAGGTGGTTTGGTAAAGCTTCTGTGGAGAAATAATTATTTATGAGTGTTATGAGCCCAATTGAGTTGGGAAGTGATGAACTTATGGTGTTACTATTCTTTGATGGGTGATGTTCCCGAGTACTGGTCCTCAATCCAGGTGTAGAAGGGGAGAGAGTGAGCATCTGGTGTTGAGGATATGCAATGTGGGTAAAAGGGAAGAACAATGGGAGCAAGCAAACTCAGAACAGAGGGAATGAGCAATGGCAGCAGTGAGACTGGATGCTGTAGTATAGGACACGAGTCTTGAACAAATGTCAGGCCACAGGCTTACCTGGCAGGATCTTGGCCAATGTGAAGAGAGTAGAGTCATTTGCCACAAAGCAGGAAGAGAAGAGCAGGGCTGAGTCCTTCTGATGCAGTTCAGCTAGCTCCTGCTCAAGCTCCACATGGAACTTACTGGTTCCTGAGATGTTACGGGTGCCACCAGCTCCAGCTCCATGATGCTGCAGGGTCTCCCTGGCCCAGAGAAAAACATATGGGAAAGGAGAAGAAAAAACCCTATCAGGCACTGCACAACTAGGTAGGTAGCCCTTCCTTTATGGGGGATCCATGTTGACTTAGGGTTCCTATATGTACTGTGTCCTCTGTGACCAAGTAAAAGGAAAGATAAGGAGGAGAGGGAGATATAGCCCCTTCTTTTAGTGATGGAGGCACTCAGGGATAGAGGGAAGAAGCTAGATGGAGCTTAAGCCATTTCGAAAACCTAAAGGAGGTCACATGCCATCTCTGGAAACACTCATTCTATAGTTAGTTTGAGTTCATGGAGAATAGGCCTTGCTTGGTTTCCCATCCTACTCCTCCACAACACCAGACACCCAGACACCCTAGAGTTTAGAAACTGTGGTGTGCTGACTGAGTTCATATCTGAGGAGTAGACATGCTTGAGGACCTTGGACAAAAGGGGTGGTGGTAGAACCCAGATTTCCACTGCCAGCTCTGCCTTTCCTTTCCATATATGCCCCATGACCTTCTCTAAATGTATCTCCACAGGTCATGACCCCAACTCTGCTACTCACTGTATAGCCTGCAAGACCCGAGGGTGCCGACTCATGCCCAGGTAGTCATTACTACACCACACAGACACATCCTTTGAGGCCACAAATGCCTCAGAGAAGTGCTGGGCAAAAGGGTAAGCATTAGCCCAGCGGTTCACAGTTTTGAACACGCGGTAGGTGTGGTCCAGTTTCTTCTCCATGATCTTGTCCCTAAAAAACTGGTCATAACCAAAGGCATGGATTCCTGTAAGAGTAGAGATGGGGATAAAAATAATTCATTTCAAATTTCTTCCTGGCTAGTTTGTACTTTATCCATGTTGTTGGTTTTGATTTCTTTAAATCTCTTTCCATATGTTCATTTATTTGCACTGTCACTGGCTTACTGGATCACATTAACACTCCACTATTTCGTTCAACCTCCCTTTGCTTACTCACTTACTCATTCACCCAGTAATTCATTCACACATTCACTCAGGCTTCCTGCCCTTGGCATGGCCTCATCTCTCTTCCCAGGGTTTGTGTGGAAACCTCCTTACTGAAATTATTCCTTCTAATCTCGGTGGAAGAAGTACTGACAGATCTAGTTTGGAGGCATGTCTCTGGTAAAAGCTAGTTGTATGGCCTTGAGCAAGGCATGAATCCTCTGTCTTTCTCTTAATGTCCTCATCTTTAGCATAGAGTAACACTACATTCTTTGCAGAAATGTGAGCATCTGATGACAAATAGCATGTAATACACCCAATTGGCGCATAGCAATAGTAGTATCATTACTACTACTAATAGTAAAGAAAATAGCTAATACTTAACTATATTATTATAACTAACATTTAATGATTATCTACTAGATATGAGGCCCAATTCCAGGAAGTTTAAAAATACTACTTCATATATTCCTCACAATAACCCTATGTGGAAAATTCTATTAGTATCTCCATTTTACAGATGAGGGAATGGAGGTATGAAGAAATTCGTTAACTTGATCAAGATCATATAGCAAGTAAGTGACACACTAGGTTAAAAAAAGAAAAAGTTATGCTATGCATTTTCTTTGAGTATGTTTATGTGTATGTAAAGCCAACATACAATCTAGACTGGAATAAAACAAAAAATGTAAGCAACCTAAATTATAGGTGCTTTATTAATGGAATAATGTTGCGTCCACACTACAAAACACACTTCAGCCATTAATAATTGTTATGCAGCTCTATGTTTATGGACATGGAATGATGCCAGGTAGATTACTAAGTGAACAAAGCAGCATAATAAACTCTGGGTAGAATAAGTTCCTATTTCTGAAAACAGCATGTGTATGGTAAAGAGAATGCGGGGTTTTCTCTCTCTCTCTCTCTCTCTCTCTCTCTCTCTCTCTGTGTGTGTGTGTGTGTGTGTGTGTGTGTGTGTGTATGTGTTTAGCCATAGGAAGATATCTGGGAGAAAACATAACCAAAAGTTAATGGTCTGAGTGGTTTAAATTTCCATCTATATTTTCCTGCATCTGTTGAAAAATAGCTCCTTTTCTTTCAAAATTAGAAAAAAAAGCAAATTCCATTATGAAAAATGAATATAAATACATATGAGATATAAAAAGGATGATGAGAGTTTTTGAAGGAAGCATGGAGAAGAAATAATGGAGGTAAGGATAATATTTAACAAGGCCTCATTAACAAGCTAAAAACACTACACTTCCATAACTGTAATTTTATTTTCTCCTCATGATAACCTATTGAGGTAAGTGTTAAAATCCCACCCAAAGGAAGTACCTTACTTGCCAAAGTACACAGATCCAGCAAGTGCCAGCACTAAAATTTAAACTTAGATTCTTTTTGGTTTCAAAGCCTTTCCATGTCCATGTCAGATGATCTTTTAGGACTCCTTCCCTATTCTAATCCCCGCCACCCCCCCACTTATTTCCACCTCAGCAAACTCACCAGCCATATTGTCCTGAATCAGTTGTGTAAGCTTCTCTGAAATTTGCTCTGGATCTTGGGAAGCAGGGAGAGACTTCCTTGGGCTGGTGGAGGCCAGGGAGCTTAGCAGGTCTGAGGAGTGTGAAATTTGCATGAAGAGAGGGAGAAAAAAAGACAGCATGTATTGTTTTCTTTAGGTTCAGTTCAATGTATAAAAATTTAAGTTTATAAAGTATAGAAGCCTTCTGCAGAGAGAAGAAATTTTCTGCAAAGTGAGCTCCTACTCATCTTCTGCAGTAACAACTCCTGTAATGTCAAGAGACCTTCTATAGGGTGATTCATACTTCTCACTAGAATTTTCCCTTAAGTGAGATAACTAGGACAGCCCCTTGGGTCCTGCACTTGGGAGATAGATGCATGACTGTGTACCTTATTCTCCTTTTCTAAACATCATTAAATTTCAATTTTGAATTTGTTGTCCTTAATGATATCCTAAAAGGGCCTAAGAAAGATGTCAATAGTGTGGCCATCTAGGTGTGATTATCTTGGGTGGTGTGCACCACTTGAGTTGAAGGAGCGCCACATCCTTCAAAAGGATGCATCTTGTTGAGAACAAAATTTTATTTGAATTTGTTTTAATAAAACTACTAATGCAAGATACTTTTCAATGAACAAAGGCCAATTAAAGGAGTATGTTATGTGAAAAAATAAAATTAAATAAAGGATGTGTCTACTCTCTACCCTTTCTCTTTCATGCAAATCCATATTCTCATAATGTAGTCTTGCTTAAATGTGGAATCCCAGTTTGGCGGGTTCCATTTAACCACCTGGAAGAGAGAAGGCAGAACTCTAGAAAGCTCATCATAGATTAATGGCTAAAAGTTATGGGATCCTTGCCACATGTGTGTGCTGGGAAGTCTATGCTCAGTGCAGTCTAAGCTATTGCCTTCCATGACTCCCCTGGAAAAGGCTGGGATTTTCCATCATGGGATGTGTACTAGCTGTCCTTGGATTACCCAGTTCATGACTGTGGTAAAATGGGTTCAGGCATTAGGAGTAGAGGTTGGATAAGGTGGAACTTGAGTCCAACCTGTCTTGAAAGTCTTCACATCCTCCTGGACTTCTGGGGCTGCCTTCTGCACAATCTTGCTCTTCCCATCCTGGAGTTCTGACAGCATGAAGGGACAGTGGCCCTTAGCCCAAGATGAAGAGTCTACACAAAGTTAAGAGAATAATTGAGGGTGTATTTCTGACCATAAATTCAGCTCAACAATGATTACTGAGACCTACTGCATCCCAAAACCCTATCTCAGGCTATGGTAGAGGCAAGGATAGATGATTCTGGTTTCTGTTCTATGGACTCTCCTAAGCAGTTGGAAATGGAAATGACACACACAGAAGACACATTGTGAACAGTGCTGGGATGAGAGGGAGGACAGTGTTTGTAGAAATCCAGAAGATTATAGGGGACACGACCAATGATTGGCATTGAATAAGTTAGTGGTCTAGGCAGGCTTTGCAGAGGTGATGATGCCCAATTTCAGTGTTTAATGAGAAGTATGAGAGAGGGTAATAGTTTGGGAGAGGGTAATATGTTAAGAGCAAAGACACAGTATCTTGAGGAAATGGGGTTGATTCAAGCAATTTAAAGTAGTTTGGGCATGGCTGCTGTATAGTGTGTGAAGAGCATGAGAGTGAAACTCTAAAGACCTGGAAGACATATCCTGGAATATTTTGAGGCCAGTTCATTGTGCCTTGACATTTTTTCACATGAATTCTCCTAGTTAGTAGGCAATGATGGCCAGTATGACTTGGAACCTTGTCTTTATGATCTAGATGTTTTCCCCCTTTTGTTAACAACCACTTCTTACCTCCTCCAGCCTTGGTTGCCTTAAGGTGGATTTGAGAACAGGTTGGTCCTTGGGTGGCTAGGATAGGACAGTGTCCAATACCAAATAGGAATGGATGAATCTTAACCACTTTGCCCAGGAGACCTGTGGGGCCCCGGGCAAGCACTGGGCAACACTGTAGCAACACAGCTGCTGCCACCATCTTGAGCCTGAAGTCCTGCAGAAAATATGGAAGAGATGAAATTCCATTGTTAGAATCTGACCAAAAGCCAAGGATCACTCCTCTGTTGTGATTCCTCTGAGATACACTGGTTGTGTTTCAGGGAAAGAACTTCTGGGAACCACTAAATAATGGGGTGAAAGAAGGAGTTCTATTTTGAGGTCAGAAAGCCTGAATTCTAACTCAGATTCTGCCATTGACTTATTGTGATTGTGAGGATCATTGAATTATACTTGTATGTGGCAGGATAAGAGTTGACAACCAACAAACCTTTTGATCAACACTTGAGGTCAGGATCCTTTCTAACAATATCAGCCTCAACCAAGTGAAGATTCAGCCTGATAACGCAAATAGATGCCATTAACCAGAGCTCCTGAGGCTTGGCCCAGAGTGTTTCCTGAGGAAATTCTGCCAGAGAGGAAGAAGGAGCTTAAAGTCAGTTATAAGCTTAAAGAGATTCGGGGAACTAGAAGAAAGGTGAGGCCCTAGATCCTACAGACTATATGCAACCAGGTTAGCATTTCCTATCTGGATTTTCTCCTGACTTTTGGATAAGCACAGGTAAAAGAGAAAGGTACAAGAGCCAAGGCACAAAGACATCATCTATGGGTTAGAAGAAGAGGTGGAGGCCAAAATAGAGGAAAGAAAGGAGCCAGAGAAGAGATCAGGAAAAGAGAAACCAAGTGACACAGCACTCAATAAATAGTTATTGAATTTTGGCTTAAATTAATGAATAAGATCTCAAATTGGGGAAAGAGAAGGCAAGTATGGGAACAGTAAGAAGAAATGAAGGCTTAGGAAAGATAAAAGAAGGAAAGTAGAACAAAGGTGTGATGGTACTGATTGAGTTAGAAGAACAGATATTGCAGGAGGGAATGAGATCAAAGCCAGCGGAAAGGGGATAGGGTAGAAATGAGAATAGACACAGAGGGGAAGACTGATACTGAAAGAAAGGACAGAAAGATGATGGGAAATACAGAAGGAATAGGTTAAGAAAACGACCCATGCATGATGTAGAGAGCTGTTGGCTTGGTTTTGTTTTCTTTTTTTAAAGGAAAAACTATTTGTAAGATGTTGCACTAAAACGTTTTATATACACTTGAGACCTGTAGTAAATTATGTTGACAATAAAAAAAGAAATACAGAAGGATAAGGAAAGAGAGTAAGATAAGAAAAAGAGAAAATGAGAAAGAAAGAGAATATTAGGGCAGAGACAGAGGTTCAAGCCCCAGTACTGTCCTCCATCCCCCCAAAAAAGAGACAGATGGAAGGACACAAAAGGGACATAAGGAAAGATCCAGTAGCCCAGAAGATTATAAAAAGACTTATAAAATTATGTGAAGGAGAAAAGGAATACAGCAGGAGCAGAGTCAGTGAGACACAAAGGAGAAATTCTGAGGAAGGTTAAGTGATTTTAAAAAAAGGATTAGGGGAAGTAAACATGCTACTACAAATGGAAATGAGAGCTAAATTGAGTGAAAGACAGAAATGGGTAGAAAATATCTGCCCATCTCTATCTAAGGGATAGAGTGAGGTGCTAAAAGGGGAGGGGAATGATTACAAGGAGTAAGACTGAAAAATAGCAAGAGAGACAGCTAGAGAGAGCCAAGAGAAACAGATAGAAAAGGGGCCCCATTATAGAGCCAGAATCAAAGGATGAGACAAGATAGTAGATTCTCCACAGGAGAATGTGGGAACAATAAGTCCCTGGCACTGCCAAGAAAGCTTCTGAGTAAAATCTGACAGCACCTTCAGTGTATAAAGTCCAATGGTGTGAGGGACAAATAAGAAGGAAGAGCTCATGGCCCTGTCCTCATTTGACAACCTCCTTCACCTTCCTCCCTTCCTGATCTCATAAAACAAAAACCCTCTCCTTACATCACATAGTAATCCATTTACCTTATTCTATCTTAGAGCCTCTTCCCTCACTCTCACAGGCTGTCATGGGAGCTGGGTAAATTTGTGGGGTCTGAGCATGTGAGCCCTGAAATTAGGAAAGGCAGAAAGGTTAATGTATGGACTAAATTAAATAACCCATGTCAAGCCTTTAAGAATGCCTGGAACATAGTAACTTTTCAATAAATGTTAGCTTTTCCTATTTAAATTATAGCTCCCCAATTCCTTTGGTTTTTGGTCTTGGACAAGTCACTTCCTGTCTTTGGGTCTTGGCTTTCATAAGCTGTCAAATGTGAGGTAATTATGCCTACCTTACATGGTAGGTCATGAATTAGATTCAGTGCCTTTTTCATATCTGGAGATAAGAGGTTTCCCTTCCCCTGCCCATGAAGGCTAAATCATCCAGGGCTGAGCCTGCAGACCAAAGATAAAGCTTACAGAGTTTATCGCCATTGGAGTCTGATCACTCCCCAGGCTGAACCCAGGGTGTGGGAGAGAAGAGGAGCCCCTTCCTGGAATCACGTCTGAGCATCTGTCTGAGGCTGGCTCCAGCTATTGGAAATGAGCTAAGATGGATAGCCCAGGATCCTGCAAACTCCTTCCCTTAGCATCAACACCACCAACAATAATGGCAACAACATTGAAGTATGTAGTCAGATTGAAAGTCCCAAAGATTGGAGGCAAAGTCCAGCCCTGCCTTGGGATGGTGGTAGATTAAAGCCTACTCGCCATGTATACAAACTGAAGTTCAATATAGTAATCCTCTTTAAGGGGCTTTTGGCCAACATGTGTCTGGGAAAATATACACTACTTCTTGAAGCTTATTGAATTCTCAAGTTCTTTCAAGCTCAGGTTCCAATTTCTCTTGTTCTGATACTCCTTTTCTGGGACTTGCTCCTCTTCACTCTGCCTAGAAAGCATTATGACCCATGATTTTGTAGTCTAAGTACCTTGGGCTTTGTGTCCATTCCTTAGCACTACCTACCATGAGACTGGAGTGAGTAAAATTAAATCAAGGAAGCATTTTAGGAAATTTAGGGTATTAAGAGCAAGACTACTTGGTTTTGAATCCTGGATCCACCATTCACTAGCTTTGTGATCTTAGAAGAGTCACTCCCCTACTCTATATCTTATATCTATAAAATGTAGATAATAACATTGACCATCTACTTGACAAGGATGTTGTGAAGACTCAGTAAGATAATTCATACAAAATATTTAGAAGAATACCTATCCTAGAATAAATACTGAAAAAGTGTTAGCCATCACTTTTATTTTCTCCCATTTTCTATGTAGAGAAAGTGAAGGTACAACCAAGGAAAGTCACAACATGGATATGTCAAACAAAGTCTGAAAAGCTAGAGACCTGATCCTTGTTCCAATCCTGTTACAACTTACTGTGTGAACTTGGGCTCTGTAGCCCCTACTCTGGGCCTCAGTTTCTCCACATATATTAAACTAGATAATTTCATAGATCCCACCTGGTTCTGATAATCAAACACAGAGCCCTCGCTGTGCCAGCCTTTGTTGTAAATGCTTCTCATGTATTGACTCATTCAATCCTCATGACAACCCTGTGGTAAGGGAACTGAAGCCCCCCAAAATTAGGTAATTTGTCCAGGTCACAGGGCCTACTAAGTGAACAAAGCAGGATTTTAACTTAGTCATTCTGGCTCCAGAGACCACTAAATTAACAATGGGTACATGAACTGAGAACCAGACTCCATACATCAATCCACTCTGCTATACTAACTGGTACATTAATCTTTTGTGACCAATGTCCTTACCAAAGGAACAGATATAAAACTGAAGTAGGATTTTAGGTACTGTTGAACCATTCCACCATCTAAATATTTATGCATCCCACTATGTGGAAATGCTTGCCAGAGATCTTCTTAAAACAAAGCTTTTAATCAAAGAGATGGATGTTATTCAAACATATCCCATCCATTTCTCTGCATCTTTATAATTCCTTTTCATGTCAGCATCCAATCTGCAATCCCAGAGGTCAGAAGAGCCAACAATGACTCTACCCCAACAGAAACAAACAAACAAACAAAAACCAATCGTACAGGTTTCCTTGCCCCCTCTCTCCCATTATTCCTGGCCTGCTTTGCAAGACTCAGTTCATTCTGAAGGGGAATCAGTTACTTCTCTTCAGGAGTTGGAGGTATCAGGGCCTCCCTTCCTAGTATCCTGTTCCCACCACTGAAGAAGCATGTAGAATTTTACATACCTGGAATAACATAATTGAAAATTCTTAGAAACAGAAAAATTTAGGAGACCACAAAATCAAAACTAGAAAGAGTTGTGGAAAATATAGGCCAAGCCTTTTTTCCCCAGAGAATGAATGACTTGCCTGGGATTTCACAGTGAATTAGAGTGAGAATACAAATCTCTTGACTTTCTACATAGCGACACAGCATTCCTCTTCCATCTTTTCCCTTTAGTTTTGCTAATTATTCACATCTTAATTCCCCCAAATCTCTCCTTATCCAATTCTTCATTTCTATTCTCCTCATTTCCCCTCAGTTTTTCCCTCCCTAGGTCTGGCCCCCCCTAGGCTCTGACCCATCAAGCTATGCCCTAGGTCAAGCAGAAAGAAGAGAGACAAAAGGAGGAAAGAATAGCAAATTGCAAGAAGAAGTATTAAGGCATCTTTCCTGATAGAGAAAAGAGAAGGATAGGAAGAGACAGAAAGAAACAGGATGGAGATGGAGAAATACAGAGTTGAGGAAAGAGACAGAAAGGGGAAGAGAGTTTAGGAGAACAAGATACAGAGAAAACTCACTGGAAGGAAAAATAAGAGAAAGCAAGAGTGTTGGAGAGTGATATTGAAAACTAACAAAGGAGAGAAAAGGGGGGAAAGGAAGAAAAGTAAAGGTGGAAACAGGGAAAGATAGGAAGAGACATGGGATAAAAATGACAGAGTTTCTAAGAAACAGAGAAAGGGAAAGTCAGTCAGAAGAAGAGAAAGTCAATCTAAGACAAAGATCTAGTCAGACCAGAGTTAGTGTATGTAGCTCTGAGGTGGGTAGGTAGACCAGAGAGAAGGCATCAGGCTGAAAGCAACTCTTACCTGTTGCCCTGCACTGAGGACGAACGAAAGACGGGTGGGTGCTATGAGTTAGGACCTGGTGTTTATCCCTGCCTGTGACTTAGCTCCACCCACCCCACCTTCTGCTGGCCTGTCCCTGCATTGGCCCCAAAAGTATCTCAGGGCCTTGCTAGAGATAAAAAAAAAAAAAAAACAAAGTAGTCCCTCTTGTGTTTCTCTTCCCCCAGTTGTGACTCTTCCCTCTCTATTTTCTTTCTCTGTTTCCTCTGGATTGTAAAATGAGCTCATTTGGACTTTAGGATCAGACTATCCATACAGAACTAGAGCACCTCAAGCAAAACCACCACCTTTCTGATCCTCTGTTTCCTCAAGCATAAAAGCAGGGCAATAAAACCCAGAAACAAATGAAGCACAAATGGGAAAGGCTCTGAGATCAGACCTAGAATACAGTTTTGTACTTATGAATTCTAACAATCAGTTCCAGAAAGTACATCCAGGATGTTGTAACAATTCAGTAACATCATATATAGAAAACACTCAGCAAAGAAATAACAGCTAAAGTTGATAGAATGTTTACTATGTACCAGACTCTGTTAATTGCTTTACATGGATTAATTTAGCCTGAAAATGACCTTAAGAGATAGGCACTATTCTCCCTATGTTTCAGATGAAGAAACTGAGGCTCAAAGATGTGAGACAACTTATTAATAATTACCCAACTAGAAAATACATAGCCCAGCTATGAACCTAGGCAGTCTGCTGCCAGAACCCACACTCTTTTCTCCTTCTTATAATATACATTTAAAAATTTGAAGTTCTTCATCCTTTCTTTTCTAATACCCTTTTTTGTTTTCTTTCTCATTTTTCATTTTCTGTTGTTTGTTCCCTTCCAAGTCTAAGGCAGTGGGGCTATATTATAACCAGACAATTTCATCTCTGAAGCAGATTATCATTATTAATATTATATCTATATAAACATGATCATAGCCCATATATTGCATATAATTTCCTTTTGCTAATTTGGCCATATGCCATGGAGTCTTTCTACAAAATTCACCATTTAGTGGAATCATAATATTATAAAATCTGAATGTACTATAATTTAAACACTCTCCTATCGATGGAAATTTAGGTTATTATTAGGAATTTTTCCTCTTCATTGTGTATAATATTGCAAAAAGTAACTTTGGGCATATCTGAGAGTATTTTTTATAGGGTGACATCTTACAAAAAAAGAGTTCTTAGGTTGAAAAGTGTACAGACATTTACTTTTTTGATACTGCCAACTTGCACTGTGTCTATGTTATATAACCTTACTACTGGTATACAAGTGTGTGTGTGTGTTTTCTCACAGACCTTAGTGAACCAATAATTGGTATTTACCAATACCACTTATTATTTTCAATTTTTAAAATCTTTGTTAATTTAAGTACTAAAAGTGGTATCTTGGTGATGCCTTGCTTTTCTTTATTAATGATATTGGGTATCTTTTTTGAACAGTACTGGGAGTTGAACTCAGTGCCTTGCACTTGCTAAGTGGGTGCACTACCACTTGAGCCACTCCACCATCCCTTTTTGTGTTGGTTATTTTTGAGATAGGGTCTCACTTTATGCCCAGGCCAGCCTGGGCATATGATCCTCCTGTTTTTGCTTTCCCATATAACTGGGGATGACAGGCGCATGACACCACATCCAGCCGTCATTTGAGATGGGGGTCTCACAAACTTATTGCCCAGACTGTGATCCTCCCAACCACCTCCCAAGTATCTAAGATTATAGCCTTGAACCACTGTTTATATCAGGTATCTTTTCATATGTATCTTGATCATTATTTGTTTCTCTTCTGAATCACCTATTTTGGGGATGAGTTGGCAGTAAAAGGTAGTAGACAGAAAGTATGTGCTCTGGAGTTGAACTTGTCCACATTATCTTACTTAGTAGCTGTGTGGTTCACTAAATTCGGATTCCTCATCTGTAAAATAAGATTATCATAAAACCTAACCTACAGAATTATTAGGAGGATGTGATCT